AGCCCCCCCATTCCATGTTCTCACAGACTGCTTTCCTTTCAGCAGCTGCAGTATCTATGTACCATCTCGTTTCTCCCCTGCCTAGGGTCTCCCAGTCACACCCAGTCCTCACTGCAGTCTAGTCTATACTCCCTGCTAGCCTCTAAGCTCTCAAGCAGTCTTCCTTGTGCTCAATCAGTTCCAGACCTGTGATTTCCCCCATCCCTCCTTGAGCACTCTGAGCCTGCTGCCCCCTACTCGTCCCATCTCCCTGTTGCTGCTTCCCATAACTGTGATCACTTTCTGAAATACGCCCTGTAAACCCTAACCCTGAACCCCGTGATTGGAAGGAATGAAGTCACCTAGGCCTTCCCTGTTCCTGAGGGTGCCTGGCATGTGGGGCCTTCCCAGGGGAGTGCTGTGGCTTCGAGGTCTCTGCAGGATTGGCCCTCTGTTAGGAGAGTTCCTTCCAGGGGAGACATAAACAATGCCATGCCCTTCTAAGGGCCCAATGCTAAATCATAGTAGGATTCCACCATTGTTCACCCTGGAAAGCCAGTGAGTTTATTAGTGTTTATAGCACATGAGTGAGACATTACAGGCAGGAGTGTGTGTGCCCCTAAAGCAGGAAGGTCTGTACCCAGCATGGATGGTGCTTCCCCCATAACTACATACATGGAGAACCCCTCTCAGTTAACCTTCCTCAGCCTATATACCCTAGCACCTCCTGAATCCTCCAGGCTAAGTGCAGTTAGGGCAGAACTGGCTGGGAGGAGTGGCTGGACTCTCAGGTGAGTCCAGTGACCCACCCCACCCCACCTTCTTCAAGGGAGTGTCGACAGTCAATAAGCCCAGGCATAATGGACTCTTACAAGGAGCTCAGCTGATCTCATGAGATTTCAGCTGCTTTGCTTAGAGGACTTTGTTGTTGCCATCCTCCCAGGGCAGTGCTGTGGCTTCAGAGTCACTGCAAGAGTGGTCCACTCGGGGAGTGCCATGGCTTTGGAATCTATGCAGAAGTACCTAGAAATTGTCTGGCAGTGGGTAGATGGCTGCCCGAAAGAGTACCTGATGCCTGCTCTCCTCTATGGGGAGATGGCGGCCTGCAGGAGAGCACCTGACACTCTCTATGGTTCGTGCAGTCTCTAGAGCAATGCATGGTGAGCCCTGCAGGAGTGCTAAGTGAGCGCCACCCTTCCTGCACTCTGCAGTAGAGATGACCCCTGTCCTTGGCTCTCTAAGGACACACATTAGTCCTTGAGGCTACTGCAGGCCTGAAGTGTGGAACCTTATGTATGTGTGGTGGTTGGGCCTGCTGCCTGTTCCCAGGCAGGCCAGAGCATGGCTGAAGTGGCTATGGGTCAGTCTGTGAGGGATGCCTCACCTGTTGTCCTTAGAGAGAGCTGCTTCTCTCCCCACCTGTGTCTGCTGCACCTGACTGGGAGCTGAGCAAGTGAAGATGTCAATAGGCCAAGAGTGTCCAGTTCCCTGAAGCTTGAAGGAGAAGGAACAGGAAGGCCAGGCAGCTCTGACCAGAGTAGAGTGAATAGAAGAGACAGAAGAATTTTAAACATCTGTGAAAATTAATTTGAGGGGCAGATTTTTGTGACTGTTTGCAAAAGTGAGCAAGGATGGCCTCTGATGGGGCAGTCAGTGAAGATGTCAATAGGCCAAGAGTGTCCAGTTCCCTGAAGCTTGAAGGAGAAGGAACAGGAAGGCCAGGCAGCTCTGACCAGAGTAGAGTGAATAGAAGAGACAGAAGAATTTTAAACATCTGTGAAAATTAATTTGAGGGGCAGATTTTTGTGACTGTTTGCAAAAGTGAGCAAGGATGGCCTCTGATGGGGCAGTCCTGGTGCTGTGAAAGGCTACATGAACCATATTGAGCCAATGGCAAGACTGGGTGTGCATGAGAAACCATCAGGAAGAACACAGCAGGGTCAGGAGACCTCACAGGACAAGTGCCGGGAATCCAGGAGGGCCTGGAGACATGCCAGTGACTTCTAGTCCAGGAGCTGCTTCCAGATGAAGGTGCTTTCTCCAGGTACTGTCCTCGAACTAGATAAAGCTAGGAAGGCACAGGACAAGGAGGATTAAAGAAGAATGAAGCATGGACCAACAGGTGGATGCTGTTACCTCATAACTGCTTTGGATGCTGGGAAGCTGACAGATGCACTTGCTCATTTAACAGGAAGGGGTAGCTGACTGTCTACCAGGGAAGAGGCCAACCCAAGACAGGACTGCTTTCTGCTAGAATTCCAGAAAAGCTGGGGATGTGGGAGTACCAGGCTCTGTGAAGGCAGAGGTGAGGAACTGGCCATGGAGATCTTACCCCAGCCCTCCTTCTGATGAGAACATCCAGGACAGGTCTGGTATTAAAATAAACAGTGGGTGGTGCCTGAGGAACACCACCTGAAGTTGAGCTCTGGTCTCCATGTACATGGACACACACATGCACACACATGCACACAGGCAGGCATATGCACACGTGCGCATATACACAAACACATGTACATGCATATACAGGCACACATACGTGCATCATACACACAGGCACAAATATACACATGCTTGTATGCATGCATGTACACACATACACACATGCATGTTGCGGGTTCTCCTCAGGCCAGCTGTGAAGACCCTAACCTGGATCGGGTCCCTCTTTAAAAATGACTGTCCAGTGAGAGCCTGTAGGCAGCTCCACCTCGGGATGACCCCAGGATCATGGACTGTGCCTGTCTTACGTTGTCCTATTCGGGCACGAACCTTACCCGTCATTGGAGTATGGGTGTACACATCCATGTCCTGGCTTAGATTGATTCAGCCCAAAGGAGCTTACCCATCATTGACTGCCAGCCCTCCAAGGGGTATCATCCTGGGGGATCAGTCAAGGTGGGGAATTATCTGTAGGAGGCCTCGTACATTTGTGTAAGCCAAGTCTGTCGGGCTTCATAGGGCGGGTTGAAATCATCTTCATGTATTGCCCTGAGGGCCTGATACACCGAGTGATTGAATTTTTTTCTGACTGCGGGAACAAAGAACAAAGCATTTAAGAAGTAGAAAGAGAAGAATAATTATGCCTGTCAGGAGTAGGTAAGTGACGATCCAAGACGGGTCAAACAGTGCTTTTAGATTAGACCAGATTTTCTCTAAGCATGTAACCTGAGGAGGCCCTGCCAGCATAATCTTGGATGGTTAGGTTGAACAGCCCAATGCCTGAGGATGCATTGTTCGTAGTGAAGCATAGAGAGTTATATAGTGGCCAGGAGCCATTGAGTGATTCCCAGGTCCATGGTAGGGAGGCCAGGTGTAGAATTAATTGAATAGAGGGTGGGGTAGGCTGGGGAATGAAGTGATAAGGGCAAGAGTATAGGCAGGGAGGGGACCAAGGCCCAGAGATCATGCGCCGTGGCAGGGGGGGGGAAGAGCAAACCAATTATCCAGATAGCGGGGAGGTCTCTGGATCCTGGGGGTCCTGTTGGTCGGTTGCTGGTCTCACATCTCTCGCTGGAACCCATACTGGCTTTGTTTCTGTCTGAGGAAACACACAAGCATAGCCTCGCCCTCTTCTTAACAAGGGGGTGGGCGGTTGCCATTGCCATGTTATGGGGTCCTTCCATCTCACGTGGCAGGGGTGTAGGCCTAGGTATGGTAGCACAGTGTTTGTAGACCGGGCTCAACCCATTTTCATCGAAGGACAAGAAATTAATGCTGAATAGAGCTTCAATTAGAGCCAGGTGCGGGTCCCTTTTAGACTCAGGGATAGCGAATTTTTGTAATGTTTCTTTGAGGGTCCTATTTGCCCACTCCACATGGCTTGTCCCTGTGGATTATAAGGGATGCCAAGGGAGTGGCTAATTTTCCATGTTGGCAGGAATTATTGGAATTGTAGAGAGGTGTAAGCTGGCCCATTATCAGTTTTTAGGATCCATGGCACTCCCATTTACCTTTTCACTGGTTTGAGCGATGGCAAAAAGAAAGGAGGAATAGGTGTCAACAATGACATGGATACTTAAGATTACCAAAGGAGTTATAATGGGTGACATCCATTTGCCAGAGGGCATTGGGTAGGAGACCACGTGTGTTTACTTCATGTCGATTGAGGGGGCCTAAGGGAGCATGGGGTGTACATGTGATGCAAGATCTGCTCAGATGTTTGCATTGAGGGATGGGTAGGTCAGGTAGAAGGTGGTGCAGACTGCGAGGAGAAAGGTGAAATTGTTGGTGTAAGGCTCTGGCTTGTTCTAGTAGAGGAATCTCTACAGACATAATAAGTTTATCTACTTTGTCATTTCCCTTTGACAAGATCCTGGGGAGCTTGGTGTGTGATCTTATGTGGGAGATGTGCCAGGGCCATTGTCTGTTATCTAAGATAATCTGGAGAGCTCTCATTGTTCTAGTGATGGGATCCTTGTGGCCTTTTACTCGAGCAAAGGGAAGATATCTGAGGGCCTGAACCCGCATACTGGCTGTCAGAGAATATATTGAGCGGCTCAGTCTGGCAGACTTGGAAGATTTTTAACAAGGCCAGGAGCTCCTCCAACTGGACAGAGCCTGGATTAGCTTGTACATAACAGGTCTCATCTTTTCCCATGTGCTGAATGACAACACCATAACCGGACTTATTGGCATCTGAGAAGGCTGGCATGGCTAAAGGTGGGGGGAGTGTGTGGCTGAGTGGTGATTTCCAAACAGGCCAGGCAGGCCTGCTGCTTATCCGGGGCCTAATTAGGTCCAAGGTAGCCAGGTGGATCCACACCAGGGGGTCTTGCTGCCATAGCACCCCCAAGACACCATTTTTAGTCCAGAGGGTCAAGGCCAGTAATGGTTCTGCTGGGTCGTGACGTCGGAGTGATGCAGACCAGAGTATATGATCTATCTTATTAGGAAGATCCTTAGCTGACTGGGTGAGAGGGATCCTTGAAGTTAGTGAATTATGGTCTTCCAGCAGGGAGAACAAGGCCCAGAATTCCAAGTCAGGGACTGGTATAAATTGTTTGAGCCAGTTTGTAGTCCCACAGAATTCTTGGAGCTCAGTCAAGGTATATACAGTTTTTTTGCAAGATGGAAAGGTTAAGAGGTTTAATTACTGTATCTATATGGTTAGCCAAGGAACGTGAAAGGTTGGATGTATTGTAACTTGTCTCATGCCATGTGGAGACCTAGATGTTCTAAATCAGCAAGCAGACTGGGTATTGCAGCCTGTAAATATTGTGAGATTTGTGTGCTAGCAGTATGTTGTCCATATGGTGGATGACAATTAGGTCCTTGGGGATGTTGGTTAAGGCCTTATTAACATATAATTGACAGATTGTGGGGCTATTTTTCATACCCT